TCACCTGCTATCATACATACGAAAGATGTTAATGAAATAAACTAGAAATATAAGCAAAAACTTAATTTTCCTTAAAATGAATTGGAGTTAGAGAAATGGTAATTAAAAAATAAGAATTCAACAGCATTTTAACATTTAGCCAGGTCCAACTGCATGGTGAAGGGGGAGGCCTTTTTATTTCTCAGGGCATGAGGGATTTTGTATCAGACCTGAAGGATTTCAGGAAATAGAAATAGGGGAATTTTCACAAAATCACCATAATTAGGGGTTTCGCGCAGGGCTACCACAAACTAGAATGCATGTCAATAAGGATTAGAAAAATTCACGAGAAACACCGAAAAATTGGCAATATAAAAGAAACTAAAACTAGATTGAGAAATAGCGAGCATCAAGTAATTTCAAACCAAAATTTTCGGTAACTATATTTCTGAAGGCCATGATCACATTGGTCTATTTGTAGAAAGCCATGGCCATATAGGACATAAAAAAGGAAACAAAAACAACCAGGATAAACAACCTTCCTCCGAACAGAACTCTAATTTGTTGCTGGCCTCTTTAGCATTCAATGCATGAGATATAATATAAATTTTCTTGCCTTACATTAATGTCTGCATGAGAAAAAAAAAATAATATGTAAATTCACTGGGAGAAAACAACCATCCGTGCAAAACTGCAAACCATTGTAAAACAGTAGGTGACTTGATAATATCAAACCAATTCAAACTAAAAACAAACCAAAACAGAACCAAGACAAAACCTAAAAGCCTGTTAATGGTTTTAATCACATAAGAAAGGGAGCCCTCAGAGTCCATATACTGGCATTGCTTCTATTTCCATAGCATCCAATATGGCCTTAGCATAACTATGAATGCATCAATGAGTGATAATCCATTAGTGTGCACGAAAAAAAATGAAACAATCAACATATATAAGTGCAGTCCAATATGGCCTTAGCATAACTATGAATGCATCAATGAGTGATAATCCATTAGTGTGCACGAAAAAAAATGAAACAATCAACATATATAAGTGCAGTCCAATATGGCCTTAGCATAACTATGAATGCATCAATGAGTGATAATCCATTAGTGTGCACGAAAAAAAATGAAACAATCAACATATATAAGTGCAGTCCAATATGGCCTTAGCATAACTATGAATGCATCAATGAGTGATAATCCATTAGTGTGCACGAAAAAAATGAAACAATCAACATATATAAGTGCAGTCCAATATGGCCTTAGCCTAACTATGAATGCATCAATGAGTGATAATCCATTAGTGTGCACGAAAAAATGAAACAATCAACATATATAAGTGCAGTCCGCCAAAAGGCAGCATCTCTCGATCATGTTGATCAAAGTTAGCTTCCAAGTATCAAGAGATCAGAATCATTGAATTATCTCCACAGAGAGAGATGTTTTACAGTATCAATGATACCTCAGTTGCATGCTATTATTTTCCAAGGTGATCCACAGAAATCCTTTTTTCTTCTTTGAAAAGCAAAGTATATTACAGACATGTTCCCTTGACAAGTCCTAAAAGTTGATTTTAAAAACTGAACTTTGCTCATAGATGAATTGCAGCACAAAAGTTGTTCAGATTTAGATTCACCTCATTCATGTCCCCACTTTTCGATCCAATCGACACTTATCTCTACATTTATTTTTATTTTAACATTTTGACAAACCTTCCAAATATTTTAGTATGACGAGTAGTATAGATTTTCAGATATAATTCCTTGTGTAGTCATATCAAATCAATATGGTTAATTCCATATATAATTATGTACCTTATATCCTAGGACATGGAGTCATGGACACAAGACAAGACATGCATAGACCTATATGATAATCCATAAAAATAGGATAAAAGGAGATCATATGCTGACTATGTTCATGCGTGCAAGTGGTTATGTGCACACATTAAACCCGATAGTAGTTTGGACATTTTTTATTCAAATGAGAAAGAAAACTACATGAACTCTTAATGATCTAAACCTATAACTTCTACCATGTAAAGCACGACACATGCTTACAAAGTGTCAACATTTTAGGATTTTTTATTTGTTTGTTTAAGTGATATAAGCTTCATGTTGTTTGCCTCGCAATCATTAGATTATTTGAGTCAACGCCGCGCTGACACATAATTTTGGTTTCTTGAATCTGAAACAGCTCCAGAGTCCAGAGTGTCTAATCCATTTCAGACAAATATGCTGAAATCATTGGTTCTAGCTCCCTCATAAGATATCTCGAAAAACTTAGACCATGAACAACTTGAAGAAATAAATATACAATTCCAATTCAAATGTTCAGCTCAATGTTTCCCTATGGATAAAAGGACAAAGAGAGCTAGCCTCCTAAATTATCATGACACTTCCTTATTCTAGATTCAGTAGATCCTAAGGCTTAGAAGATGATGAACAATGTTGAATGTGAAGGGGGTTTAGAGGCAGTTGTACCAAAAGTTACTAAAGGCCCGTTTTCAGCTACAGTGCAGAATTGTGCGTTCATTTTGCTTGAAAGTGTGATTTTCTTGACAGTTCCTATCTTCATGTCTCACATACTTAGCACAAAGGCAATTTTCTTGTAAATGGTCTAGCAAATTTTAACACCAAAACTGCAACGAAAAATCCTTCTTTATACAAAATCATGCACTTGGATTAGAGTTGCTCACTAGGGTGTCACTTTGACACCGCAAATATGGGTATTGCACTTTTGACTCTCCTTATTTAGGATTATCCATAAACCAAAGAATAAAATAAAATTGTGGGCAACAGCACATTTACATATTAGTGTCACAAAAAGAAAAGGAGGGAGGGCGTGCGGGCAGGAGGGCAAAAACAAAAGAAGTAACCACTTTTTTTGACTAAGTCAGGTATTAAAATACTGCAAGTTAACAACCAAAATGAACAGTGCCACATGAAATCAGTCGAGCCTATTCTTAATCCATTATAGAATGCAGCAACTCAAAGATCCATATGAAACATATTATCTATTGACATACTCTTCTATGACATCTTCCTACTGTAAGAATATGTTTTTGGTATGGAATGAACATAAAATGGTATGATAAAGTAGTCCATGATCTGTAAGTTCATAGCCTGGTGGAACCCAAATGTCCATAAATCTACATCAAACCATCTATACAGTCAATGTGAAACTTGATAGACACAAACATATCACAAAGTTTCCGCAGCCTTGATGCACATGAAGGCTATCTCACACTAGCCCAGTCTCAATCAAACATTGCAAAACCGATACCAACACTTCGGCTTTAGACTAGCATGAATCATAAACAAACAATGCAGTAAGTTGTGACAATTTGACATTACCACCTACGTGATTGAACAGGTAAATATAGGGATCTATTATGATTTGATACCCACCTGAATCAAGGAACACATTAGAAATACACGAAAAATCCTTTTTTCTCATTATATTTCCATTTTTTCTTGTATCTACCCATTAGAAATAATTACACAGGGTCCAAAATTCACTATTATATGACCTACAACACATGATTTTTAGTCATTTTTAGTCATTCCGATCTATTGCCAAAAAAATTTGTGAAAGCTAAAATTCAGGATTTCATGAGTTATTTATTACCCACGATTTTTTACCAATTTTAGTTATTTTAAGCCATTGACATAATTTTACAAAGATAAAATTTCATGGCAACATGAGCTACAACCCACGATTTTTGGCTATTTTGAGTTATTTCTACCCATTGAAAAATAATTCCACGTAATCCGAATTCATGATTTAATGAGCTATCACCCCACGATTTGTGGTTATTTTTAGTGGTCTCTACCAATTGGATAATAATTTTGCAGTGTCCAAAATTTACAATTTCATGAGCAACAATATATGATTTTTAACCATTTTAGTCGCTTTTAACTATTGAAAAATAATTACATGGGGGCCAAGATTCAATATTTCACGAGCCATAACCTACAAATTGTGGCCATTTTTTCTTGTTTCTAATCTATGGGAAAAAAAATTCACAAAGTCCAAAATTCGAGATTTCATGGGCTATAACCCACGATTTTTGGTCATTTTTAATTGTTTCGAGCCATTAGCAAACAATTTTGCAAAGTCAAACACGATTTTGTGTGCTATAACTAACGAGTTTGGCCAATTTTAATCGTTTCTACCCATACACAAATAATTCCACGTAATCCAAATTCATGATTTAATGAGCTACCACCCCACGATTTGTGGTCATTTTTAGTGGTTTCTAACCAATTGGATAATAAATTTGCAATGTCCAAAATTTACAACTTCATGAGCAATAATATATGATTTTTAACCATTTTAGTCGCTTTTAACTATTGAAAAATAATTACATAGGGGCCAAGATTCAATATTTCACGAGCTATAACCTACAAGTTGTGGTCATTTTTTCTTGTTTCAAATCTATGGGAAAAATTCACAAAGTCCAAAATTCGAGATTTCATAGACTATAACCCACGATTTTTGGTCATTTTTAATTGTTTCGAGCCAATTAGCAAACAATTTTGCAAAGTCAAACACGATTTTGTGTGCTATAACTAACGAGTTTGGCCAATTTTAATCATTTCTACCCATACACAAATAATTTCATGCAATCCAAAATTTAGGATTTCATAAAATATAACTCACGATTTGCGATCATTTTTAATTGATTCTACCCATTGAAAACTAATTTCATAGAGTTCAAATTTCACAATTTAATTAGCTATAACACATGATTTTTAGTCATTCGAGCCCATTTAGCAAATAATTTAGCCGATGCTAAACTTTAAGATATCACGAGCAATAACCCATTATATCTGGCCATTGTAGTCACTTTGGCCATTGGTGAATAATTCTGCGGAGGCCAAAATTCATAATTTCATAAGCTATAAACCAATAATTTTCAGTCATTTTTATTTGTTCTGAGCAATTGCAAATAATTTTGTGAATGCCAAAATTCACAATTTTATAAGCTATAACCAATGGTTCTTAAAAAAATTCGTCATTTCGAGTCAGTAACAAATAATCTCGTGGAGACTACGATTACATAAGTTATTATCCATGGATTTCAACCAGTTTTAGTAGTTTCTATCCATTGGCAAATAATTCCGTGGAGGCCAAACTTTAGAATTTCATAAGCTATTACTAATGATTTGTGGCTATTTTTCTTGTTCCCACCTATTGAGAAAGAATTTCATAGAGACCAAAGTCACGATTTCATGAGCTATAATCCATGATTTTTAATCATTCTTAGTCGTTCTGGTGAAATTTTTTGTGAAAGCCAAAAATTAGGATTTCATGAATTATTTATTACCCACAAAATTTGACCAATTTTAGTCATTCTGAGCTATTGGCAAATAATTTCACGGAGGTAAAAGTTCATGATATTATGAGCTATAATACATTATTTATGACTATTTTTAGTCAATATTACCTAATAAAAAATAATTTTGCAACTCTGAAATTCACAATTTCATAAGCTATCACCCACGATCAATGTTTTAAATATCGGTTATCGGGGATTTATCGGATGGCCAAAATCCTTATCGTATAACGGAAATCGGGGATATATCGGGGATAAGTAGTATTTATCGGAGTGATATACTGGACGA